TTGACATATTGACGTATGACGAAGACACAGTTCTTTCATCAAACTATTTTTTTTCTGGTGTTTTTCTGAAGTTTGTTGTAGTCTACCAGCCGATTCCGTGCTCCACCTAATGTAAAGCAATTAATTTTTGATATGAGGATAAAAAGATTGCAGCGTCGTCGAAAAATAATAGTGGCACTGTCATGTAATATTTTTTAGATTAACTAACAGCAATTTTTCATTTCGTTTGTAATTTCAGAAAGAAGGATCACTATTCAATAAGAGCTTACGGAATTCTCATCTGACGACCAAAGCAATCTAAATTGGCATTATATTCTTATATTCTTCCCTTTCGTGGCTATAATCCCACTGAATTTCTTCACTAATATTATCGCACTTAGCAGCATCAAAAAATAACTTCAATTTTCCACGCTTTTTTGATCGTTCTGAGGCAGCTGAGAAAAATGTGACGATTGCCTTACAGTTAATTGTAAAGGTTCAGAGATGAAACCAAAAAAAAAAAAAGAAGAAAATAAACATAAATGTAAAACATAAGCGATTATCAAAACTGTACTTGTTTGCTGATACTGCGTTGGGATTATCGTATTAACACTTTAAATTTTTCATCATAGCTTATTCGTTTGCATTACATTTTTGATCAAATGCTCTTATTTTACTGTACATTTGCTCTATAAAAACGTTGTTTCTAAGATGTTTTCTTTTCTTTAATTGCCTTCAAAGTATTTTTGTAAAAGAAATTCTTGACTGTAAAAACTTATTAGATTTTTACCAATTTTTTAAATCTGATTTTTTCGGCCTTACTTGTTTCTGTTTTCTCAAACATTTTAGAGGAGGAAGATTATAGGAAATGGTAATTTGCATTTTTATTGCATTTTAGGATTGTTTAGCTAATTTACTGCAAGCATAATAATTATTTTTGAGGAAATTGCATAAAAAGTGTTATTTTTTAAGGAACAAATTTTTTCTTCCAATTTTTATTTAATAGATTGGTAAGATACGACTGGGGCACACCTCAAACATAATTGGTTACATATAGCAGCCACTTTTTTTACCTTTTTTTTTTGACGATATGCTGGTCATTGCTTTTTTTTGGCTGAATTTCTATTGTCTCAATGCTTCCTGTTTCTTTTCTCTTTTTTCCTTTCTTTTTTTTTTTACCTGCTTACCCTTATGGTCTTCGCTAACACTTTCAAAAGTAAATAAACTTTTTGACGAAACAACGGCAACAATGCGGTGCTTGTAGATTTGCTAAAATTTTAAGAAAGTTACTGGAAGAAATGCCTTTTGAAGCTCTAGCTGAAGTTACTTTTCTTCTTTGTTTTTTTTTTTTTTAAATATTCGACTACATATTCAATTAATCAATCTGTTTACTAGAATTTTGCAGTTTATACTTAACGTCTGATACAAAAGGTTCAAGTGCTCGCTTAACTTTGAAATCCGCAACCTTATTCCTTCCTTTTTCTTAAAAGATTTCAAAATTCATAATAAGCAAATCTTATCGAGATTACCAGCTGCATTCTTAAATTTCTTTGAGCTGTACATGTAAGTAAAAGTTATTAAGCACGAATAACAGATGGTCTCAAAATTATTCAAAAATATGATAAAAGTTTATTATTCTACCAAACAGTCTAGTAAAGAGGGCAATAATTTTCATATTACCTTTTAAGAAAATAGTTTACTTGAACCTGCAGTGGTCGTCGAATCTATTAAGTCGTTCGCCTCGTTTTATGCTGTTTTTAGTGACAAAAAAATTGCTTACCTTTTACATATACAATTGTCTTATTATGATGACAATATTTTAGTGAATAACAATGGTTCATTTGTAATACCAATGAAACCTTGAAGACCAGAGATACGGCATAATTGGTCTCAGTATTAGGACGCTTCTTTAATTTTTGCTGTAGTTAACTAATACTTATTGATGGGCTTTTTTACGATTACCATGTTGGTTAGTCTATGGTTTTAAACAACTTGTGTACACTGTTAGTACCTTTTTTGCTGAAAATGCAAAAAATCTATTAGCTCTAATTTTTCAACTTGACAGTTTCACTAAACTGATAAGCGCTGACCTCAAAAGTGTTTATTTTGTGTTTTTCAAATTATTGTACCAGAAAAAGATCTGGTAATAAAAATTCATAATGAAATTAGTTTTATTGCGATCAGAGTAGAGCAATTTTGATACGGCTGACGAGGATAACGAATTGGCTTACAACTGCAACTAGGTCGTAAAGCCAGAATCTAATCACTAAATTTTTTTAGCAGTAATTTTTAAAACACTTTTTTGTCAAGTCTTCTCATTAATTGAACTCTTTCAACTTTTTATTTACAACTACCTTACTGTAAAATATAATCTTCACCACTGAAAGCCTTAATTTTACTTGAGATACAGCCTGGATAACGACAGTCTGCACTTTTGCCCCCCCTTTTCCCTATCTATAAAAGAAAAACATTGTCTTGAAACCACTGTAGCATTGCGCAAATGATGAAGTTTTAAAGAATTGTGTTTTTCATTTATGAATTAATTTTGATGCTGAATAAACTGATGAAAAGTTTCAAATAAAAACGGATTTGAACCTTATCAGAATTTTTTATTCGTACCGTCAAAACTTTTTAATAACATTGTTTATTTTGATACATCATTAATGATAATATTAACGAATACATAAGCGGCAAATGTTTGCAAAGATAAAAATATTTTTACATAACAACTGTATATTTGATAAGTGTTAATGATGCGGTTTTGATTACGGTATTGAAACGTTCGTTAATCTCATCTGTAGACAATCTAATGTTTAACAGAAAACTTTTTCTCAAGCAATTTGATCGCTTAAAGTTTTCATTAGTGAAAAAAAGAAAGTTTGCTCTTCTGCGCTTATTTTATTTTCACCAGTTTCTTTTGTAAAGTTACACTTTTAAACCGTTAAAGCAATGCAGTTAAATCTTCAAAATTTCAAAGCTTAACAACATAATTCCAAAATCAATTTAGGATACAAAAAAAAAAGAAAAAAAATGAAATAGAAAAGAAGTAAAGCTTTTGAGCTGTAATTGCGGAGAGCAGATTCCATATCTTTGTTGCTATCGTTGTTGAACTGTAACGCAATGAAAATGAGCTGTCAAAAGTGATTAGTTAAAATTTGTTGCTTCAGCATTCTCACGGGATTCTTTTTTTTTTTTTTTCAAAGTAATTCTTTTGTTAATGCCGGTGGTGATGGTGAGAACAGAAAAACTTCATGCAGATCAATCAAATCAAATTGCGTGACTTCTGTATAATAGGCGTGAGACGACTGCAGTTCCCAGTTGATTGCAGCTAATTTTGAAGCCAGTATACCGTAGAGCCAGATGGCAGGTACGGAGATGTGAAGAATGCAGTGTTCTTTTCTCATTGCATGCCTGATTGAAATTTTTGGCTTACTGTTATTTAATTATATACATATATAAAAGTATAAATTTATTTATTTATTTTGATATACTTTGTATAGTAGTTCGAATTGCATCTTATTTCCTCTCCTATTCAAATTGTGCACTATAAATTTGCTAACAATACCTATCTATAGACATAATATGACATAATATTTCCCAAATTTACCAATTTCGTAGTTTTTTATTTGTTCAAACTTCACCAAATGCTTGAGAAAAAATTTGCTGATAATATAACTTTACAAATTTGCTCATCTAAACAGCCCAAATACGACTGATTTTGCATCCTCCGCCTTACAGAAAGAAATCACTATACGAAGTGCCAAGAAAATTGAAAAAGACTTTTTTTTCATATTCTTCCTCAGCAACATTAACAAATACAGTTGTTAAACTTTATGTTGTCTTCCCAATATTATCAAATGATGAAATAAACCTATCAAAACATAAATAATTCTAAGCTGTCATCAATCCTGAATTCCTTAAGGCCTTCCGTGAAAAAATAATTACTCAAAAAAAAGTAATAATAAATAACGATAACTTTCAGGGATCTTCTATTCTTTTTCGTTCATTTTCCATCTCCGTACAACTGTACTAAAGTTTACGCTCCAATAAAAGACGTTTACAACCCAAAAAATTAACCTTTATGTATAAGTGGGCGGTAAATATTTTAACTTCTGAAATATACCTGTCAAAGACTAGATTGTTTTGTAGCCCTAAGTGTGCAGTTGATGATTGCGGTAAGAGTATAACAAAAATAAAAACAATTTCCTTGAAGATTATAATCATAAAGGTTAAAAATAACAGCCGGACAGTTTATCAGCTAAAATATAAACGACGGGACGCTCACAAAAATTATACCGATCGCTTGTCACTAAAGTTAATCGTCCTTTAAACTCTTCACTGATGCACCTTGATTTTTTTCACTTCTCAAACATTAGTCAACCGGCCTAATCTTTATTCCTTCTTTTTTTGTTGATTATTTATTTCTTCATTTGCGG